TTACCGCGATAGTTGTTTCCTCTTTTTGTATACAGTATTGAATTTGCATTGCCTGTCATTTCAGTACTGCATTGTATGTACTTAGTGACGGCTTCATTCATAGTTGTGAAGTTGCCTGCCTCTAAAATTGTTTTTATGCGGCCATGCTCACAATTTTTAACCATTGTGGTAATGGCTTCTTTTGTGCTAAATTTGTCAGCGTGTTCGGCTGGTAGGCCTTTGTCAATGTACGAGGCTTCAAGGAGCTTTCGTAAGTTGTCTATTTCTGATGTAAATTTCTCAGCTGTTTTGCCTTTTTGGCTTGTTTTCGCCATTTTCGCTTTGACTACATCGGATGTTTCACCGACTATAGTGTCTTGCAATTTCTTTATTATACCCGTTACTCGTAGAGTAAAAGGGTATATTGTATTCGTGCAAAAGTATGTAACAGCTAGAAGGAAGCGTTTCCGACCCTATAAAGTATATATATTCTTGTTCAGGATCACTAGCCGAGTCGATCTAGCCATGTCCGTCTGTCCGTCTGTCCGTCTGTCCGTCTGTCTGTCCGTCTGTCTGTCCGTATGAACGCTGAGATCTCGGAAACTATAAAAGCTAGAAGATTGGCATTTTGCATGTAGATTTAAGAAGTTCCTACGCAGCGCAAGTTTGTTTCAAAATGGTGCCACGCCCCCTTTAACGCCCACAATCGCTTATATACGATTTTAAAAATTTAAATATTTCGGAAAAGTAAAAATGCAGTTTTATTGTGTTTATCAATACCTATCGAAATGTAGAAGAAATTTTTCAAATCGGACCATTCGTTAAAAAGTTATGCGTGATCAAAGTTTCTATCTCCATCTCCCTCGCACTCCCTTTACCTGAGTAACGGGTATCTGATAGTCGGGGCACCCGACTATAGCGTTCTCTCTTGTTATTGAATTTATTGTTGTTTCATTCTGTACTTTGTACAGTGTAGATCCTATTATTTTGGATTTAATGACATCTACAGCCAAATCTTCGAATGTGCCTTTAGTTAAGTTAACCAACTTCAAGGCTGTTATGAATCTTTGAAGATGTATCTTTTGCCCGTTAAATTCCGGGATTGCATTCGAGATATCTTTTATATATGCCCTTTGGGCTGCTGGATCTGCCATTATGTTTTCTTTTGTGTCTGGCACGCTTACATCTGATTCTATATATTCTTCTTCTTCTGCTTCTGTTACTGTTATAACTGCAGGAATTGTTAGATCATGTAGATCTTTTTCTTTTATTTCGATTCCTTCGCTCGAATCGGAATCTTCATTTTCTGTTACTTCTATGTCTTGATCTATTGTCAAAGGTGTATTTAAAATTGTCGGTATCGATATATTTAAATTATACCTATTTTTAACAGTTATTAGATTTGAACGTAATTTGATCAAAAATTTAGATAATTTTGACCAATTCGTTTTATTTATCGCTGCCCTATTTTCATGTACTAAAGTTCTTGCAGTATTGAAAGAATCTACAAGAATCTTTGCATGTTTATTAATAGTGTCTTTATGTATTGGCCTATTTTGGCTTATACATTTGTAAGACTTGTCAAATGTGTCCTTTAATTCTCGTATGTGGAGAGTTAATTGCTCCCATTCCATACTAAGGACTTATTTTTTTTTTGTATTAGTTGTGCATAATTTTTAGTACAATTATATGTCCTAGGACTGGGTGTATGTCTACTTCAGAAAATACTTTACAGTGTCTTACTGTAGACAGTACTATTGCTTTTTGCGTACCGCTGCAATGAAAAAGCGGGGAAAAAGCTAGGTCGTACCTATTCATATATTCGTCTTCAAAATCTGAAATTGATAGAGCCTCTCCTCTGTTTCTTAGTATGGCTAATACCCTATTCTCAAAATTTGGTTGATTGGATAGAGTAATTCTTATGCAATCTGTGGTATTCATTTTCTATGTTAATATATTTTATTTTTATTTTTATTTCAAAATTTCAATTCTCTTATTTTGGTATGTCATTGCATACATTTACAAATTTTTGACTTTAATTTTTATTTTGAACATATTTTTATAATAATTGTTTGTGCTTTATAAATTTAAATCTTATCCAGATCGTTGGCCTGGCTTCTATTTATAGCTCTTTTTGATACACACTTATTGTGGTACATATAGGCTTTATACAAAATGTATGCACTCATTATAAAAACAATTATTGATAATAATATGTTTGTTAAATCGGTATCAATAGTTTTTGATTCGATTTTATTAATTACATTAGCAGTGGAGTCCACTGTTTTAGTATCAATTAAACCCATTTTGGGTATTATTTCTGTAACGCTTTCAAAATCTGTTTTAGATATTGCGTTACTTTTCATAACAAAAAATGTTCATTCATATTTAAATATTTTCTTTTTATTTTGATATCTTTTAATTTTTCTTATGGCACGTATACTCGCAAGCTGTATTTTCGAAAGGCCCTTTACAATCTGCAGGGCACTTAGGTTTTCTAGCCTCCTTCATATCATTTTTATTTTTGTAGGCATCTAATTCCCTATACGTGTTCTCTAATTCTTTCTTAATTTCTACATTTTCATCCCAGGATACTGGGGTAGATTTTTCAGCATATAGCTGCCTATTTAATTCTTTTATTTTTAAATTCAGGAAGTTCTTCTGACCTCCTCTCCTTTTTCTCTTATTATTTTTTTTTGTCTTAGGCATTTATTTAATTATGTATTTAATTAATTAATTAAAATTAAAATAATAAAAAAAATTTAAGATGTGCACTCTTGGAAGCGCTGTCGGTTCAATTCTCCAGGGTCGCTGATGCTCCTTCGCTGGCGTAAGGGGCGGCCTACCCCTCACACTTGTTGTCTCAGCTGCTGATGTCCTGGGCCTATGGGCTCAGGCGGTACCGGTGCCGGTCATCGCACAGGTTTTTCCGCAGGTGCCTTCGCACCTTGGCGTTCCAGTCGCCCAGCGCAGTCGTCTTAGGGCACACTTTGTTTCTTCTTGGAAACTGCTTTGGAGGTGGAGGTGTTAATTTTCTTTTGTCGTCATTAATTTTCTTAATCACTGAGTGAGCTGGAGTTATTGGCTTTTTATTTACAAAACTTGAATTAAGAAAATCAAGATCTTTTGTAATTTTTTTGGGCTGTTGCCCAGGGCGGTGCTGGTTTGTTTTTATATAATAGCCACTTTTTTTTTTTTTATATTTTTTAGTTTGGTTTGCACGTCTCTACGTTTTGCCATAACTCCATCTCTACTCACTCAGCTTTATATTTCCAGTTGCAGTTGTTCCTTCCTAGGTCCTCCAGGACCAGTGTCACGGTCGCCATGTTATATTATTGCCATAATATTTTTATAATAATTAATAGTCACTTTGTTTTACTTTTCCATGGGCAGATCTTTATTATTGAATTGTCCAATTGATAATGAATTTCAGTTAGCTATTTGCGGCTGCGCTGCCTGCAAACATTGGCAGCGGCCGTCATATATATCGAAGTATATGCTCGCAATTGTATTTGTGCTGGTAGCACTGAGAGCGCGAGGGAAGTTGTACATGCATGCCTTGTATGTGTCTGCACTCAGGCCATGGGAATATGCTGACACTAGCACTTCCCATAACTTGGGCTCTGAGGCACATTCATATTTCGGCTGGCCGCAAAAGTTTAGCGGCCGGCGCTTTTGTATTTGTTTAGGTACACTGTAATACAATGTTGGTGTCGGTACAGTGGGTACTCGCTACAATGATACATGCATACTACAGTACCACTTAAACCGAAAGTTCTCTTCTTTTTAATCTTCTTCGTGTTAAGCAGGTTTATCTGCCACTAGAACCTAAAATTTATCTCGCACATGCTTATATCAACTTAGGACGTGATCGGAGATGTCTTCTTCACTGCGTTGCACACTTTTGACCAAAATTATAATACCCTCTGCAAGGGTATAAAAAATATAAATTAGCAACCCCTTTGCTAGAAAAAAAGTTGGTGAAGCCGAAAATAAAACCTCCTAAGTTTACGTGATGACATGATAGATGGTATCATGCGAAAAGAAGAATATAAGGTTGTGTGGTTATGTTTTTATGGGTGACAAAATTCAAAGTTGTAGATAATAACACTGAATTTAATCAATTGAAAACCTTTTCGGTAGCACTATACCCTTCCCTCTCTCAGACATTAAGATACCTGACACGCGCATAAGGACGAAATAAGCTTTATTCCAGGCAGATTAACACTTACTTTCACAAAATTGATCTTACTTGTTCCCCGGACTTTTTCCCATTCTTTCATATCTCGTGTCTGTCTTCTCGCAAATCGTGCCGTACGATACACGGCTGCGCCCCTCGGTCGTTTGGGCGATTGGTGGGCTGTGGTATTCCGCTAAAAAAAACCCTTACAAATGGTTTAAATTTGGGATGTAATATATTAACTGACTACTATAAAGTTCGATTTTGTTGTGAAATATTCGCGATGCGCGAAACTGTGATTTGTAAACTAACACCTGCTAACAACTTCAAATTGTGCCGCGGATTTCCAGAAAAATCTTGATTGCCATGAAGAAGCTTGGACATTTAGAGGCGATTTAGTTACTTTTTGTTGTTATGTTTTGTTTTAAATAAAATAAAAAGGTGATCTCTAAAAGATTTTAATGCCCCTTTAAAATGATCTTATGATTGCGTCAGAACAGGTTTCTGAACTGGAGACCCTACAATTTGTAAGGTATTTGGGTGGGACCTTTGGAGTAGGTATCCGAATTTTTCCTCCCTGTTATCGCAAGCGCCGTTAGTAGAGCTTTCGTTGTTGAGCGGTTGCGTCTGCCTGACTCCAAAATTATTCAGGAGTCAGGCACACGTGTTATACTACTTGTTGGTTCAGTATTCTTTATTTGTTCTCGCGTATTACTTACTGCATAGCCCAATTTGGGTGAACCAACCAAACAAAATTTGGTTATATTGTTTTTGAAACAATACTTTTAGGAAATGTTGTGGAACACACCTGATAAATATTTGTATTTAATTTATTTTTCAGGAACATGTTTCCGAATATCATAGATGCAAGTTGGGAGATTTATCCCCTCACGTGTTTGCTTTAGCTGAAGCAGCTTATACCAGCATTGTAGAAGACAACCTAAATCAGGTAAGTTAGCTTAAAAAGTTTTTTAAGCGCTTATTTTATTGTAAGTGTAATTATTAATATTAGATGTCTGAATTCCATTAAAAATATTGTTATAAGCCGAATTAACACAGAAATCATTCCAATACAAAATGCTGATGTATTGCTAAAATATCTTTTTTGATAATTTTTCTGTTATTTATCCAGATAATAAAGTTAAAATAAAATTTATCATATTTAATATCAAAAATATTATGAAGAAACACGTTCGCTTTTCACAGTAAAAGATCTTGCTTTTGTTTTGCGCTCGAATTTTAATTTTTATTTTAAACAATTCACCACCCTAAAAAGTCTTAAATGACTTTTTGTTCGCTAAATAAATAAAATAATTTTTAACATTTAAATCGGACACAAAACTATCTCGAACGGTCCATCTGAACTTTTAAAAGGCCCTTGCAAAAGGTTAAAACAAGGTCAACGACTTACTCTTCCATTATGGTCCAAGTTTCTTATGCATAATTATTAACTATTAGAATGTCGTTACAAAACCACTTATTTGGAAGCTGTTCAATCGGTAGAACTTAAATCAAAGCCGGATTTTATCGTGATTAGCCGGCTGGAAGCAAGTTTGATTAGATACGTCGGAAGGATTGGCCGTTCCGTAACGATGTAGGATTAGTGGGTTAAGCGAGAGGATCTTCCGTCTCACCGTGGGAGTTAGTGGGTCACGAAGGCTTCTGCCATTTCGTCGGGGGGATAAGTGGGACAGTGAGGGGATCTTCCGCCTCGTTGTGGGAGTTAGTGGGACCCGAGGGGTTCTGCCGCTTCGCTGTAGAGTATAAGGGGGGACACGCGAGAAGATTTTCGTCTCGTTGTGGGAGTTAGTTGGACTCGAGGGAAAAGGGTGCGTGTAGGTAAAAATAATAAACGTTAAAACCATCCTTTGTCGTTTTGTATATATATATTATATTTCACTTACTTTCGTTCACTGTAAACTTTCTTAGTGTTTCCGATTCATGAATATATTCTAGTTTCACGCGCCGATTAAACTTCTTGCTCACTAACCTTATTTTCCTACCGACCGCGTTCTTACTTCCCCGCGTGCTTAACTTGCCAAATATTCTCCGGGTCGTCAGCGTGCGCGACCATCTTCCCCGAGGTACCAGAGAAAGAGTCCCGGTCTATCCGGTCTTTCCCTTGCAAGATCGTGCTGTAAAGCTGCCAGCTCTAGGAGAACGCCCAATTCAAATTGATAATTTCACTCTAATCACTCTAATTCACATTATGTTAATGCCAAATCTAAAGTTGTTAAGCTGAGTAACGGGTATCTAATAGTCGAGGCACTCGACTATAGCGTTCTCTCTTGTTATACCCTTGCAGAGGGTATTATAATTTTGGTCAAAAGTGTACAACGCAGTGAAGGAGACATCTCCGACCCTATAAAGCATATAAATTCTTGATCAGGATCACCTCCTGAGTTGATATAGCCATGTCCGTCTGTCCGTCTGTCTTTTTCTACGCAAACTTGTCTCTCAGTTTTAAAGCTATCGAATTGAAACTTTGCACACACCCTTCTTTCCTTTGCACGCAGTATATATGTCGGAACTGCCGGGATCGGCCGACTATATCCTATAGCTGCCATATAACTGATTGATCGGAAATGCCATAACTTTGGTGTTTGTAAAGTTAGAAAGTTGGGATTTTCTATGGGTGTTAAGAATGCATCATATGAATAATTTTGGAGAATATAATTTACAGAGTATTTCGGAAGGGTATATCAACTCCGTCTCCGCCCGAAGCTAGCTTTCCTTTCTTGTTTTCTATTATTTTCCTCTATGGTTGCCACCTCGGGCGGATGGTGCAGAACTAAACTTGGCCTATTTTGGTTCCGTACCCAAAAATCCAATCGGTTCGCTTTTCGATTATTGAATAATAATACTTAATTTCATTTTTCTTACAAACTGATGACTATAATAATATTAAACTCAATAACTATTACCTATACCTATTGTGGCGGCCCAGCTGCCAGGCAGGATCGTCACGTCGTAATGCACAGGTGATTATCGATTTACTTGACAGCTGGACCAAAAAATACTAAATAACAATAAGAAGGTTACCATCCCGGCCTATCCTGAAACTAAATTTCTAAATTAGGTAGAATTATTAGTTTTGAAATCGGACAAACAAGTTCTCCTGATGAAGTGCGCGGCTTGACTGCGCGTACCAATCCATCCAACCCATGCGACGGTATACTTCGCGCGCCTGATTCCATGCGGCAGGGGGGTATTCGACTCCTTGATGATCGATAGGCCTTCAGGGGCAATGTTCTCGTTCTCTTTGTTCCACTTACGAAGGTGTTGAAGAGATGTTGGTCAGGGCATGGGTCATTTGATTGTTGTGTTTCAGCGACGTGGTAAGATGATTAAGTAAGATGATCACAGCTGGTGCTTTCGAATGGGTAAGAGACTCTAAGAGATAGGGACTCGAAGAATGACTTAACTTCAGGTTCGATGCGACTGGATAGAGATGTCGATTTTAGCCCGTCCGTAAGGGGTATGTCCAGAATAGAATTGATGTTGCTTCCGCTTTGTGTGCGGCGACACCATTGATTTGATGTGCAGCGTAGATAACCCCCATGTTGTTTCCGCCTTGATAGAAGAGATTTCTGAAACCAGTATCCTTGAGCGTGAACGTACAAACCCAAGTGCGTTGACGCAACGTTCTGATACGTAGGATAACTCAAACCCGCTATCCAGTCCGACAGTTTGTATATGCCCCTCTGGTGTTTTGTACATATACCAACGCTGTGGGTAGTGTGCTTCTTTTAAGTCAAGGTGACTGTGATGACGAGCTACTGCCTGTAGTCAGAGCGACGTAGCTTGAGGTGCTTCCAGAGGTTTGGAAGTTCGCCAGCGCGATGATCGCAGGGCCAGTGGGAATGACATATCTGTTTTCAGGATGCACAAGAGTGTGATGTCGAACATTGCAGTATTTGCACGAATGTTTCGACTGACATTTTTTAGATCGATGTCCAGCACGACGGCCATTGAAGCAGAGCGACTTGGCCTTGGAGAAGGCGTGTCTCTGTTCAACGTTCACGGAATATAACTGCATACATTTGTACAGAGGATGATCAATAGCGCCACACTGTTCACAATTGGCACGGTTTGTATCTGTGAGTTTGCGCTTCTTTTTTGGTTGGCTTATCCAGATGACTGCCAGACTCAGTGATGCTACGGCTTGGCTCAACGCGTAATCTTCGCAACGAGCATCTAGGAACTTGAAAAAATCCTGAACGGTTGGGGATGGTGTGTCTCTGCTGTCATCGATCCACTTTATCCTCGTTTCGGGGTCGATTTTTGCCAATACAAGATAAATCACCCACCAATCTCGATTGGATTCTCCAATGGCATCAAACCTACGGATTATTTCGTAGGCTCTATCGGTCAGCTTGCTTAAAGCGGAGACCTCGCCATTGGGGGCACCAGCTAATCCCATAAAATGGTCCAACAAAGAGTTCACGATATGCCTTGGGCGGTCATAACGTTCTTTGAGGCGTGACCATGCGGAATCATTCGCAGCCTCCGTAAAGGATATGATACTGAGAAGGTTGGCTGCTTCACCCACCACGAACGACTTGAGGTAGTGAAACTTTTGAATCCTTCCGAGGTGACTCTTGTAATGGACGGTGCCCTCGTAAAGATCCTTAGAAGCAGTCCCCTTTTTGTGGTCTCCACCAAAGGGTTTGATGTGGATTTTCAGCAAGGGGTTTTCCGGTAGATGAAGTGCAGCAGGCGGAGCTGACTGACTGTTGTCGAATAATCGTTTTGCTGCTGCAGCAGCATGCTCATGTTTGCGTCCGTATCAGGCTTTATCTTTGGTTGCGGTCTACTCCTCAGTGAGGCAAATAACATAAGGGCGTGCAGGTTTTTCTCCTTGCACACTTGAAAATCATCTGCAATATCCACAAATCAGAAAGTTCCTCAAAAGAGTCGTGCCTTCGTGGCATCGGCGCTGGCGTACTTGCAGTCTGCAGTCGACGTAGCTTATCACGCGGGTCAGTGTTAACTTCAGGAGTTCACACGCTTTCACAATGCGTTTCAGTTGATCTGTATCCATGGTTAGCAATCCGGCTCGAAGAAGCAATTATGATGGTGAATGGATTACGCTAGGTGGTTTGTAAGGCCACTTTCAGGTTGATGGACTACTACTCACTCGGATACAAATTCAAGTCTTAATTTTTGTCGAACATTTGTGTCTACATTCTCCTCTCCTCTCTCTGGTTGAGAATTCCGTCAAGTCAATAGTTTGGGTTATTTTCCGAGTTTATTATTATAGTTTATTTTTCTTGCCTCGCCAATGTCTATTTAAGGGATGACTGGCTCATTGCTAAAAGTTTCGGTAATGATTAACTGAGCAATTACCCCCAGTATCCTGTGAATATTAATTGCCAACGTATTATATATTAGGATTTGTTAACTTTCTAAGTTTGTATTTGTGTATCTTCTGTTCTGTCTCAGTGATTAATGTTACCCCTTTGTCTTAATGTACTTTGTGTTTAGTGAATCTTGGAGTGGTCTTATGTCTCCTGTTTTCATTCCTAAATACTGTGCCCCACTTCTAAGTTAGATTGGGTCAACCCTACCCTTATTTAATTTCTCCGTCCGTTCTATTTTTTCCTGTTCCAATTCTTTTACCTGATCGTACAAAGTTGCTTTAATTTAATTATACCCGTTACTTGTTTTTTAATATAATCATGTTCGTCCCTAAATTTTGCTGTTCTATTGAATAAGTGTGTTCTCTTCCTCAACAGTTCAAATGGCGTTAACTTCGGTGCTGAGTGTACGGCATTATTGTACGTTAGCAAGGTTTCGGACAATATTTCCTCATGCTCATAGGTAAATGTATTCTTCTTCCGGACATTTAATATTATTTCCGCCAGTGCGAATGTAATCGTTCTACCGTGAAGTTACTCGAAGAGTGTTGGAATGACAAAAGTCACACCCTTTGGATACTTCAGTCAT